GAATAGTCTACGTACTTAGTAGATTATGTCCTCCAAATTAAATTTAAAATTTAAAGTATAATTGCAACTTATATACCTATTTGAAATTTTGCAAAACAGATACTGCGCTAATTTGCCGAAATTCTAAGATAAATTATTTAATAAGAATTAATAAAGTATTTTCTGCTAATTGATGCAAGAATAGTATCACAATATCTTTAAAGTATTAATCAACTGATATTTTTAAGTAACACAGCTAAGGAAAATGAAATTGTATTGTATACAAAAGTTGTAATAACTTCTAAACTTGTACGACGAACAATAATCGCGATATATCATAGACTACTCATAGACTGGAATCAGCTGATTTTAGCAATATGGCGGAGGCAAACAAAAAAAATTTTACGAAAAATCAACAAAAGAAAATGTAAAATGAACCACGGTAGATTTAAAAGAGGGATTTAAAAGATATATTTCCATCTCTCTTCACCTTACACTTAATTTTTTTCAAATATAAAAAACAAATTGCATTACAGTCAAACCCATTTATAACATTTTCTTGCTCTTTATGAACTCATCTTAATTACCGGAATTTTGATAACTATTTTGATACAAAAACATATTTTATAAAGAATTCTTGGTTAAAACGAATTACTATTTAGTCCCATGAATAATATTTTATGCATTTATCCTTTTTTATATCGAACTTCAAAAAATATGCGTTGAAATCAAATAAACGGGTTTTACTGTACATGCAAGTCAAAAAATTTGTTTGTGGTGTTGATAGTGTATTGAAAAGTGTTTTATAATGAAAGAACATTAAGGAATAATTAAAAAACAAATCCAGTACACTTTTAATTAGAATCTAAGCAAATATTTAATAAAATAATTGTTTTCTTTTTAATACCTTATTTTTTTTGCAATTCTTCTTCGCATACAATTTCTTCGATGTTTACATTTTTTGCTATTTTTTTTCAAACGAGCGATGAAAACAATCATACAGCTCATCTCACACACTCATCGATTTTTTAATACATTTTATTTTTTATTTTGCTCTAAAATTTTACCTAATGGCGGAACTCAAAAATGGTAAAAAAAAATGTAAACAAAACCATACGGTTCGAATTTACTTTTTTGACAGCTGTCAATGGTTTCTTATCTGGTTATCTGTGCGATATATGTAAAGATTTGATACTCATGGCCTTTGACTTCTACTATCTCACCATGACTTTTAGTTCTTTATTTACATTTTCTAGATGATGTTGTATACTAGTTTTTATTTTACCGTCTTAAATTCTAAATTTTGGTTAATTTGTCGGATAATTTGGATAGATTACGTTTACAAATATTGCTGAAGTTATGAATGTAATGCTAACATCCGCTACATGGTATTATAATTTAAACCCAAATTTCGAACGAAATCTCCAAATATGTACATAAAATGGGAAGAATTTTATAATTAAAATTTTCTTTCCAAAAAGTCATATGTGGAGTATTTTTGAATTGCGCTAAAACGCGTTAAAACCTCAGTTGTTTTTTAAAATAAATATTAATTACATTTGATAACGAATCCGCGAAGAGACATATATTTATTGTTGAAAACACGATAGAGTCGAAAAGAAACAAGATAGAAAACTGAAATATTTTGCCAAAATATTTTTAATTGACCCAGTTTGATTGGTATTGAAAATGCGAAATATCGGTCAACGATTTCAAGTAGCCCCCATATTATGCTCTATTCAGAAAATTACCATATTGCTTAAAAAAGCATCTATAGCGATGAAATTCAATATTGAAAAGTTTTATTGGAAATGTATTTGTCAAAGTTTATGAGGATCGGTACATAATTGACTCTATCCCTCATAAAAAGTCTCCTCAGAAAACGACCTTAAGGCTCATAATGTACTGCAATATAGCAACAAAATTCAACATAATCAAGTTTTAAAGGAACTAAAATATCTCTGTCAGATTTTATGATAATTGGTCCATAATTGACCATACGTCTCATATAAGATCCCGTACAGAAAATTACATTAACGCTCATAACTGTCTTCATAATACCATTTTAGCGACGAAATTTAACATAGTTACAAGTTCCACTTCAGAAAATGAATTTGTTATTTTAATGTCCAAATGTAAACATGAAACAAATAAAAATAATTTTGTTTACTTTTTTCTTAATTTGGTTATTTTTTTCGAATTTTGGTTAGAAAAAAATTTTGTTGTGACAACACTGCTTGTGTATTTTCTTATTTGAGCATGTGTTAGTTGATTATCGACTTGCAAAACAAAATCAACTCAGTTGCTGATCAGCATTTGTCGAAGTAAGATCTGTACGCAACTTTTTTAAAATCCACACAGAAATACAACAACAAAATTTTGAGAAAGCCGAATTTATGTAGATGAATGAGAGAGCACAGCTGATAGTTTTTTATATATGAACTTTAATGTACGCTGTCTGTCAAAATCCATAATATCAATTTGACAGTTAGAATATACTTTTTAGTTCGCAGTCATTTTATTAGTACAGTTTTATTTTGGGTTACATTTTGTTCTCTGTGCTTTACCAATACAAATTGATGTGTAACAGTATGTGTATGGGCAGCACTGTTATATTATGATCCAATGTGTTCAAAATTGCGTTTAAAAATATGTATCAAAATCAAAATAAATTTTACTGAATCAGTAAAATTACAGTTTCTAAAAAAAAGTAAAAAAAATATATACAAATAAAGATAATATACTTACAATACTTAACACAATTCGCAAATTTCAATTTTCTGCACAAAAACATAACTATATTATTCTATGCGAACTGAAATACATATACATACATTTAATGTTATAAACCAAATGAGAATTATTTAAACTCATTTTATTGTTGCGTAAAAAACACACACGAAAAAGTAATCTGTGTGAGCAAAAGTTATTTTGTTTAAAGTAACTAAAATATTGTTAAAATCTAATTAAAATAACAACTATATGTTTTTGAAAACAATATATTGTTACAGTAAACATAGTGTAGTTGTAGTAATCATTTTGAACCATGTTTTTTCTCTGCGTGTGTACACCAGGATTTTAAGAAGTCAACATGATACATGTTTGCATCCCATAGACTACTAAACATATCATATCTCTATATGCAGGGGAATAGTTAACAAAAAAAGAAAAAAAGATACATATATAGTTCATTCATTCTTACTTCTTAGAATTAATTAAATATAAGAAAAGATCAACTATTCAGCTATTAGAGATAACGCAAACGCTTTCCACAGACGATGGCTTTAGAAATGCATTAAAGAGAATGTACACATTTTTGGTTCTATTTGTACTTCCTTCATGTTAAGCTTTTACATAGATTTAATTTCGAATTTTTTCATTTCTTGTTGCATCATTAATGATGTTTTGTAATTTGCCTATAAAAAAATCGCTAATATATTATAAATTCATTAGTTTTTCCAAAATATGTTAAAAATGCGTTAACATAAAAATTCCCGTTTTCCCGGGAATGATTAAAAAAATCCCGGAAAAAAAAAATTTTTTCCCGAGAATTCCCGGTCGGGATTTCCCGAAGCCCAAACTCTATGAATGACCCACAGTCAACCAGATATTTAAACAATTATAGATAATGGGTTAGCAATTGCTGTCTTTGACTCTTTATTGGACTGTATTGCGTTTAATTTTATATACAATCAAAATATTTTACGTGTTAAATCTATGAATTTTATTTTATCCTTCTGACTCCCTAAATAAGCCAAAATACCGTTTCCGCAAAAATATCGTTGCCGTTAAATACGGATAATGCTATCTTTTAAACTTTTCGAAACGATTTTTATACTTTTTACTATTAAATAGAGTAATTTTGTGTGAAAGTTCATGAAAAATATCCAATCTGTTGAAAAATTTTTAATTTTTCGGAGTTTGTTTTTAAATATTTTCGCTGCAGATTTTGTTTCTTATATATTTTATAAAGTTTTTGTGTATCTTCATGTTTAGGCATGAAATTATTATCGCAAAATTCAAATAAAACTTTATCTAGATTGTTTCCGTGAAATTTAAACATAATTAAATTTCAGTTAATTAGATTAAATTAATCTATATAAACATTTTAAATATGTATTTTAAGTATGCAAGAATTTTAAAATTTTCAATATTTTTAAACTAGCACATACATTTCAGATACTTTATTAAAAGCGAGCCTCAAAGACCTTTCACGTGAAATCCTAGGCATAAAATATGAAAACCTTAAAAATGCATTTTATCTTTTTTAAATGAAGTAAACTTCCCCTTTCGGTATTATTTATTTGTTCTTACAAGTAGTCCACCCTGATGTACACATTTAAATATTATTTTCTTCATCTTCAAACGTACAAAGAACCGGGTAGTTGTAAATTGTAAAATTACCCCCATATTCATAAACTCATAATAAAGTTGTTGATGGTTTATTGTAGGAATTTTGTATGGAAAATGTGTGTAATAAACCTAAAATAAACGATTAATATTTTTATGAATACGGGGACATAAATTATAATGTTAATAATTAACATATTTCTTCCACAAATAACATATTATTTTTAACTTTAATGAAAAACTTTTCATTAAGAACTAACTCCTTTAAGAAAAAGATTCAAAGAGGGCGTGGTTATTATAATAATTTAACTTCACATCGATTTTTAATTAAATCATTAATCCCTTAAACTTTTGCTTAGCCGGTATTTTATTTTTCCGTTTTCATAATATTTCTTGTTTCAAAAAACGAACTATTTTTTGCAATAATCACTTTAAAGTTGCTTAATTTTTACAGTTTCATCCCTCGCTAAGAATAAATGTTGTTTTATCCATTTTTTCTAAACCGGCGAATTCATATACACACATATATTACGGACATGTACATGTGTTTATATGTTATAAACATTGTTTTTAATTAAACATATAGCATTGATTTTTATCATATTATTTTTTTTTTGTTGTTTTGTCTTTCAGTACAATGAAAAACAAAGCGGGATTTTTTAAATACACACATAACACAACACAGCAGATTAGTTTACATTCGGCCCTTTTATTTTTAAACAATTTTAAGAATCTTTTATGTTATTTATTTAAACAAGCACCAATGACTTTGGAAAAAGGAGACAATTCTTGCCAGCAGGAAGTACTATGAGGCTTAAAATGTACAATTGAAGAAAAACTAACAAATAAATCAATAATGAGGAAACAGCATTTTTTTCCTTTCTGTTGTACGGCAAGTTGCAGGCGCTTCAAATTCTCACAAAATACTTTATGTGTATTCTGAGAAGCATGCAGAAATGTTCAGGAAGTTTAATAGGGGAAGAGAAAGAGAGAAAATGAGAACAAAATCATGTAAATGTACATACATGAACAAACTCTCTAAAAATGCATAGTTTTATCATAGTTGCCAGATTGAACATGTGTGTGTTCTGGCGATTTTTAAACAAAACAAATGCAGATTTTACTGTATATTTTTGTAAAAGTGTCTAAACGTGACAACTCTTTGTAAAAGTGTCTAAACGTGACAACGCTGTCATTTAATATAAAATTTCATTTAGTTTCTCGAATAGAGAACATGAGAAACTATAATTTCATTTGACCAGCGTTACCGTTGGAAAATTTCGAAAAGTCGCACAAAAAGGGAATTTTTCGGAAAAAGTCGCACTGAAAGGGATTTTTAAAGAAAAAAGTGTCAACATAGGTAAAGTCATTTCATTTGCATTTAAATGAATTGTATTGTATTTAAATTCAGTCGATACACCCAATATCAAATTATTTACACCATTTTCTTTATTTATCGTCGCAATATTTTTCCGAAATAGAATAAACGGAGACTGAGAAGAGACATAAATTTGTATTAAATCAACGATTTTTATATTTTCTAAAACGTTTTCTAGCTCTCACCTTAAGGTTTCAGTATATTAAGGACGATCATAAAATATTTTTCTAGTTAGACGATTCACCAATTTTGAATATCATACTGGGGGCTTAATCTGTAACTCGATTCTAATGAAAAAATTTTCGAATTTGTATGTTAATTGTTTGAATGTTAAATTAATTAACATTGTGTTCGAAAGATTTTTCTTTCAAATCGAAATACAGAGTAAACCCCAAAAAATGTTTGAAAAAATTCCACCTCCCATGCTCACTATTTGTGGGCCGTTTTATCCTTAGAACAGGCAAATAGACAGAAATAGATTTGTATAAAAGCCTAAATAAAATCGTTGAGCGTCTTCTACTTGTAAAAACATATTATTTTTATAAAAATTTATGAGCTCATGGCTTAACCGCACATCTGTACCTCGTTTCTGTAATTTTCTCGAATCGAGAAAAAACATAAAATATAATAGTCTTCCAGTTTTTAACAGTGTGACTCTAATTATTATACCCTACACCACTTTAGTGGGGAGGGTATATTGGGTTTGTGCTGATGTTTGTAACGCACAATAATATTGGACCTATACCCACCTTAAAGTATACCAATCGGCTTAGAATCATTTTCTGAGTCGATTTAGTACATGATCTTCTATTGTTACAGGGACGAAGCCTATTGAAAATGGTTAAGATCGGTCCATAATTTCACCTAGCCTCCATACAACTGAACCTCCGAATAGGGCTTGTAAACCTTGTAATCAAACTACAGGTCGCAATTTTGAAGATAATTCAGTGAAATTTGGCACACGATCTTCTATGGTATCGGAAACGAAGCCTATTAAAAATAGTTAACATCGGTTCATTATTTCACCTGGCCCCCATACAACTGAACTTCCGAATAGGGCTCTTAAGTTCATAACAGTTTGATATTTTTCAAATGATCGTATTTTATTTGTAATATAATTTTTTATATATTCATAAACAACATTTTATTTTGTAAAAGATTTTTAATACTAAATTTCCATACAAAATTTGTATAAAATTAAAATTTGTTTATGATTAAGGCGTTAAGTGTAACAGCATGCATTTTCGAATTTCAATTCTTTTCGAATTTGTATTATTGAACATAAAAATTCAGCTTAAATACGATTTCGAATTTTAATTTTAGCCTTTGATATAAAAAGCCTTTCAAGTTCGGCATTAGAAAAAGGTGAAACGAGTAATGACAATACAAAAATAGACAATTCATTAAATTAATTTTCACCGATAAAATTTTCAAAATTATATACATTGTATCAGATTTTTGTCATAATGTTGTTTTGCAATATCCAACCACTGATTTTCAATAATATTTTTATCAGTTAAACTATACTTAGTTCTTTATAGAAAACATAGAAATATTTTTTAATTTTTTTTTATCAAGCAAATTATGCTAATAGGCATTTAGCATAATTTTAAAAAACGTCAATGCATTTTCACGATGCAAAACGCTTAATCTAGCACTGAAAGTGCTAAAATGGCAACACTGGTTCATAACTATGTTTAATATACTCGTATATCGACAAAAAACTGCAAAACCAAGTTCTATTCTATACTAGCCTTAATGACCGACATGAATTTTATAGTTATAGAGTCTCATTTGACCATAGCCTCTATATAAAGCCCCCTTCAAAATTTGACTTAAATGTCCACAATTTTATTCAACAATAAATGGCTTAAGTATATCTGAGACAAAGTACAATTCAACTTAAATGCTTTTTTATGAAAACTAAATCACATTTTATTTTTGTAACAGGTGTAGGGTATTATATGGTCGGCCTCGCGCGACTTTAATTTCTTACTTGTTTTTTAACTGTACTAATTAAAATTTAATAAGAAATTTTTAAATTTCTTATATTCACCCTGTTTTACACAAGATGATCATGAATTTTTGACAGATTTTCTCGATGCGTGAATTACAGAAACGGGGCACTGGGAACAATAAATAAATTTTAAGCGATTTTCGGAATTTAATCCCATATTTGACCACAGTTTAATCGTTAATACTGAATTTCATTATCGTATATCAATAGTCACATGAACATCAATAATATTTTCGGAATAGTGCATTCAATGGGGGTAAGAACATTTATAGACCGATCCACATAAATATTGGCAGGAATATTTTGGTTTCTTTAAAATTTATTTATGTCGAATGTCATATATAAATATAACAACAGTTATGATTGTTAAAGTAATTTTCTGTAGAAGGTGAAGGTCCTATGGGTGTAGTATCAATTATAAAAAGATCTTCATAAAATTTGGTAGAAAGATTTTGGTTCCTACATAATTTGTTTATTTTTCATGGGTTTATTTGGTATGCAGTCATAAGACTGTTATGAGCGTTAAACTTACATTTTGAAGGGGAACCTCTACATGGAGAAAGTCCAATTATGGACCGATTCATATAAAAACATAGCAAAAAAAATTCGGTTAATTAAAATGAGTTTTTGTCGAATTTCATTGCTGTACTGTTTTCTGGGTAATATTCATACATACATTCTTAAAGAAAGATACATATACATTTACAGGTATATAATAATATAACCAGACATTGAGAAAATGGAGGTATGTCTGTTAAAGTTGTTTGTATGGGGGCTATGCAAAACGTTGACTAATATTGCCCATTTTCAATAAGGAGCCACGCCAATATTAAGAAAATATTAAATCAGTATATCTGAGATAATATAACAGTTAGAGTCCTCAAATTTTGTTGGAGCCACTTTAGAGTCAATATGATTATTAAGGATAAAAAGTAAGCGGACTAGCAGCAGAGGGCATGGCACCTCCCATATAAATTAAATACACAAATTCGTTTATCTTGGAAACTATTACAACTAGAATCTTAAAATGTAGGCACGAAGAACTTTAACAGCCATGTAAACATTTTGGGTTATAAATTGGCGGACTACTAATGAGGGGAGCGGTACCTCCCACATGAATTTATTACAAAAATTTGTTTATATGAGAAACTAATAGAACTAAATTCTTCAAATTTTGCAAAAAAATATTAGATTTATGGCAAAAAGCAAAAATGTTACTTTACATATGGGCCATTTCATTTCAAGTGAACCAACTCAAATAAGCGAGTGTTATATTCGGCTGTACCGAATCTCATATACCCACCATCAAACCTTATGCCGTAAAAGAGATGCGTGGCATTTAGAATATAACTTAAGTCAATAATAGACCGAGCACTTTTGAATTAACAAAATATTTATTTTTAAAAATATTTTTGATCAATTTGGACAGTAGGTTCAATTATGGACCGATTGTCGTAAAATTTGATAAAAAGGTATCGATACTTATTTGCTTCGAATTTCATCACTCTACTCGTTTTTTTAATTCAGTTATGAGTGTAATAGTAATTTTCTGTAGGGGACCTTATATGCGGGTAGGATCAATTATGAACCTAACATATACAATTTTGTACAGAACTTGTTAATGTCGAATTTCTTCGTTATACTCGTATTTTTAAATAAGGAAAACTCGTATTTTAATAAGCAACCCCCTTTCTTGAAGAGAGCATCATATAGAGGCTATGGTCAGATATAATTTAATCCTCATTAAATTCGGAATAAGTATAAACTTTTTTATGTCGATTTTCATCGCTGTACTCGAAATTTTCTGAATCCTAATCATCAAATTAACTGAAGAGATCCTTATATGAATGGTTGGGTGAATTATTGATCGTTTTTATAAAATTGTTTAGATTTTGGTTCATATAAAACATGTTTACATCGAATATCATCGCTTTACTATCATTTTTATGCCAGTAATTAGCGTCAAAGTAATTTTCTGAAGGGCTTATATGGGCGGGTAGGGTGAGTTCACGACACCTTCCGCATGAAATACGGTGGGAAGATTTACGTTCCTATAAAAGTTTCTTATAGCAAATTTCATAAATGTACTCGTATTTTTCAACCAGCAATGATCGTGAAAGTATTTTCTGAAGGGGACCCTATATGCGGGTAGGGTCAATTATAGACCGAACCTCAACAAATTTGGTAGAGAGATTTTGACTAGTATAAACTTTATGTGTGTCGAATTTCATCGCTTTACACGTATTTTTAAGCCAGTAATGAGTGTTAATTTTCTGGGGGGTAGGGTCAATTATGGGCCGATCTACATAATATTTGGT